TTGTTTAAAAAGAAGTGGTTCCGTCCAATACTCAGTAAGAAAATTAAAGCCTGGCGTGGCCACGTGTGGTTTTGCTGCCAATCACGAGCGATTTCATTTGTTTGAGAATAGTGGTTTCAGCCAATACTGAGTAGGTTATTCAAGCCAGACCTGGCCAGCCGCGCGGGTTTGCTGCATTCATATGCTAATTAGGGCCATTAGTACAGCTGATCGCTCTCCACATACGTCATGGTACGTTTTCGACAATTTGTGGCACGACAAACACGGACAAGCATGGATTGCAAATTGTCGGAAACTGACGAAAATCAGGCAGATCTGCGGGAGTTTACGGGGACGAAAAACTCACTTTTCATGCAGTGTAGCCCAGCGAGGATTAACTAGTTACAGTAAATCCCTACTTTACCGTAAATATATAATATTAGTCTTTTTTATGGATTTTTTATGTTAACCCACTCTCATGGGCCTTTCAGATCAGATGCTGATTGCTCAGTAGATAGCCACAGGCTGGCAGGCTATCAGCGTGGCTGATGGGCTTCAGCTTGTTCTCCAGGCGGCCACAGGTAACCCATCTTACAAACTACTCGTGAGGCAAACTATCATGAGGAGAATATAGCACGTTGCGGAGAAAGCCACGAATGATAAGAACTTGATCGAGGCGACATGAGTTGAAGACACTATATTGTTAAAGTGAGACATTTAAAAATGTATCTATGCTCACCACTAATATATATAATATATAGATCAAGCACCGTTGCTGGCCTGCCAACAAAGGTGCTGAGGATTTTTAGGATTTGGTTCATTAACAAGGTTGAAATCTGTGCCACCGTAGTGCATATCTTTTGTTTGTCCAGAGCCCGTTACTTCAGATGACGTGACGTTAGATTCACATTTTAACCAGCAGTCCATGAATTTCTATGAAAATCTGAAAGCTGACAAACCAAACAGTGGTTGGCGAGAAGGAAGCTGTGTCAGCAGAGGGAGCTAAGAGAGGGAGAGCATGCTGAATCTGTATTGGAGTACTTATTCTATCCTTTTGTACCATTTTGCCTATTATAAACATATCTAATATGTCTCTGGACGTTATAGTCATCATAGAATATGTAGAACTATATTTTCACAGAAATCATCAACATGTTTGGTAGTATGTAATGCAATTGTTGCTAATCAATACAAACTTAACTGTCCGACTCTTGTCTTTCATGGGCGGCCCTCAGCTTTCTTGATGAAAGTGGACAACCAGGTCGGTACGATCTTGAACCAACTTCTGCCAGTATGAGTTGTTGCTAATTAAACTTACCCTGCTCACCTCTCCTTTTTGATGGAGGGCCCGCAGCTTTCCTGGTGACGGCAGACAAGATGGCAAGTACAATCTCAAACCAAGTTCTGCCAGCATGCTACCCTCGGCATGAAGACTAGACACTTCATCAGTCTTTAAACACCTTGTCTGCAGACTTTCATACCCCATCTTACAGTAAATGCCCTTATGTCTGCAGCCAACATAGTCCGTTTCCACACGGAAGACACTGCTGATCATGGAGTTCCTGGGATGAAAGGACTGGGCAGTGAAGTCCTGCCACTTCGTCTCTAAAGATGTCACCCAGGAGAAAAATATTGGGCTGGACACAATGTCCAGACAGAATACAATTCATATATCTGAATACATCTGGCACAAACACACATATTTATGATTTTTAGATAAACCCTGCAAGGACTGCCATAATCTGATCTGACAACCACTGACTCTCTGACTAGTTTACCTTATAAGCAGTGTTGGGACTAATCATTAGGCATTATGTAATGCGTTACAGTAACTATGCTACTTTTACAGTAACTAGCACTGTAGCTTATTAGTTTGTATCAGTCAATAATGAGTTACTCATTACTACAGACTAAACAGATTCATTATTCATTACTTACCATGTATGAATAAGGACTACAGTTTCCTGGTCTAAACACATGTGTCAGCAACATGCACGTCCAAGTGCACATGGTCCACAACTATGCGCAACTTCAGCATTAACACAGAGGGGAGATGATGGTGCAGAGCCCAAAGGCTAAATGTTTCTGTAATTTACTCATTATTGCATGGGAACAAAGACTTTATAAACATTGGCAAGAATCTGCGATTTAAACAAGCTCTGTACATCATCCTAAAGGTATGTTCACACTGAATGCAAATTTTGTAGCCAGAGAGAAGGATCCCGATGTTATATTTAAGTAGAGATTGGATTTGGAGCAAAGGGGAGCGAAACTGAGTGAGGTGACGGTGACAAAAAATTATGACAATTATGGCTAATAGTGATATGACAAATGCTACCTCAAAATGAATCTCACATTGCATAAGAAAAGCCTGACACTGATCAGGATCTCCTTTAAACAGTTCTGGAAGTGAAAGACATGGCACTTGACAAATTGGTCTGAACGCAGGTGAATGATCGCTGACGTAGGCAGAGATGTATGACCAGAAGTAGCGTGACTGTGAAGGTCATTAAGAACTCCTGCGTTCCTGACTCAAGCTGGGAAATACTGTTTTCTACTCCAGAACGCCACTTTTCTTCTTCTGATGGATCCATGTTTGGCCAGATTATCTATCAAGCTCAAAACAATAGGATCCAGTATTCGAGGTGGACAAACAGATTTCACAAAATCTTTATTGAGAACTAAACCGTACTGAACAGCGTCTAAGGCAGGAACCTAAGCAGGAGGAGACAACAGGTTAGTGACCACGTCTTTCTGGGTGTAGATGATAATGAACATGTGAGTCACAAACCTGTTCTTATAGTTCAGTCTGAGCCTATAGGGTGAGGTTGGTACCAGACAGTCGTCTGCCAACGCGATGAAGCAGGTGATGCACAGAGAGTCCCAGAAGCATAGTGCCAGAATTTGATGTATCTGTGGTTTGACGACAGACAGGGTATAACAGCCGAGCAGATGAAGGCAGGTAGGATAATACAGAGGGTGAAGCCAAAGTCGATTTCGGTGACGAGTTTAGTAGTCAGAGCCGGGAGGTCAGAGATCCAAAGAGTTGTTGAGGGGAATCCACAACGGAGTTGGGTAATTACAATACAGGAATGCTTAAATACTTCTCACCAATGGCTAAAAAACAATCTGGCACCGGTGACTGGTCTGAAGGCTTGTTAAAGGTGGATCATCTAATCCCCCTTAATAATACAGGTGGATCAGTTGAGCAGGTAATGAACTGGGCAGAGCTAAATATGTGTGTGAAATTAATGTAAATCCCTTGATTGTCCCATACTGGTATCAGTATCAGCGCAACACTACTTGCAACCTTCTCAGCAAATAAGCGCACTGCTCTAATCACTAGGCTAACGCTCATAAAAATTAGTAATTAGACAGTGCCAAGATCATGACAACTAAATATTTGATAGTGCCTATTTTCTGACATGCTTTTTAAAGTTGTATGCAATCTACTCGGTTTCCATTTTTATATATGTATAAACAAATTTTATTTATTTTATCTTAAACCATTAACAGAATAAACGATTCCCTGCCAAAACATGTAAGGGACTAGTATGTGTTTTCATTTTTCGGGAAGGTTATATTACAATTTAATTGTCTATGTAAAATGTTATAAATAAAAAATAATAATAACATGATAATTAAAAAGAAAAAAAAAACAAAGCTGTAGCTCAGCCAAAATAATGCTGCCATAGTCCTACGCCCTTCCTGTTAAATAGATTATATCAGACGTCTCACTACCCTTCAGTGTGTCAAATAACTGATTTAAACATTCCGGTACTGTTCATTAAAACACTGATCTTGGATTGAAAGACATTTTTCAGTTGTTTTTCAAATAGAAAGTGCATTTAGAAATAAGTAAGCTTAGCCTTGGAACAAACATTATATGTTCTACAGAAATCATTGGTTTCTTTAAAACTGTGCTGCAGCCTTTGATAAAAGAATCCAATACACTGTTTCAAACTGTTGTTTTTATACAATACTCTTATGTTTTGCCATCTTGTAGGAAATATGTTTGTCTTTTCATTGGGTGTCATCCATTACTTACACTGTGGATGAGCTATTCTATATAATTACACTTCTCTAGTCTTATCATTTACTGTATGAGATTGTGACAACTTATCAATAAAAATGACTATTAAGTCTCCTTCACTCATATTTATTTAAGCCATACATCCCCATTAATTCACAGCATACCTTGAGAGAGAGAGAGAGAGAGAGAGAGAGAGAGAGAGAGAGAGAGAGATAGAGAGAGAGAGAGTCGTTAGAGATGTCCCTCACATTTATGCATATGGAGTATGAAAGTTTTAATTTTAGATTAATTTCACGAAAGGAAAAAAAATGGACGGAGGTCAAAGAATTTTGGATGGACAATGTAATTGTTTTTGTGAAGATTGATAAGTAAAAGCCGTTTTCGTTGCTTTGAAAAAAAGTCATGAAAGTGTGATAACAACAAGGGTGAGGTGGGCCAAAAATTATTCTGTAGGGCGAACAAGTGTCCATCTCAGTAAAGTCAACTGACCTTTCTTGCTTTTTAGTGATTTGATAGATTACCCCTTTCTTAAGATTAAAATTATGATTATCATCCTGTGTGAAGAATGCGCGCAGCCATACCAGGACGCAGCGCAGAGCGCATTTCACCACTCAATTTTAGGGAATGGGACTCTGCAGCATCTCTCGCTTCTTTTTTCTCCTTTTCACCTGAAACTGTAATTGTATAGTCCTTTTCTCTTTTTACTACCTCACTCTGCCTCAGCTGCCTGGCTGTAGCCCATATCAATATTAAGAATGTCAACCCAAACCATCTCAAACTGTCATCCAAGACATAGATTTTTAAGTTGGAACTCGGATTTCTATCACTTTATTAATAATTTCATAGTTCATATTGCGTAACAGAGTTGGCTCCACTGGTTTGCATATTGGTGCGTTATCGGCTAATCGCTCCAAGATACAGCGCATCATTTGGATAGCAGGGGTGGAGCGAGCAGCAGCCTGTCCCGGTAAGGGGAGGAGAGAACGGGGGCAGAGGCGGTTCTTCTCTCGGCTTATCGCTTTTTCGGCGCCGGAGAGTGTTGGGACCAGGGCTGGAGAAGACCGCGGGGGATAATCAGCGACAAGATCCAGTCCTGTGCACGGAGCCTCGTCAGGTCGAACGTGGCGCCGTGCGCTTTTCTAGGGGGGGCTGCACAACATTCCTGTGAAATATAACTGCTATTAATGGCATGTGGCTTGTAACTTTACTCCTGCTGTATTCTTTGCAAGAAGGTAAGCTGCAGATTCAAGTATTTACCATATCTGCATGTTATCTGCTGCTGAAATTGGCTGGTTGATAGATTTTTTCTGGGCTTAAGAATTAATCACGGTTCTAAAGCAGCAATAGATATGTCCAACCAAACTTCAATTTACTGTTGTAACAAAATGTGTAACTTTTTTCTTTTCTTTTTGAGGACATTCCTTCTTTGAGTAGCCACACATTTCTCATAAACTGCTCTTGGAATAACGTCTGGATGCCCCCCATGGGAATCAATCTTATGAAGCGTAATTAAATCACACAGATCACACTATAGATATAAAATCCAAAGCAACGTGGTCGACAACAGCAGATGGATATTTAAAGTTGCCCACAAACTAAATTATTGCTACAACCAGTGGACAGGCAGCAGCATTAGCATTATTTTGCATGATGAATATGTGGATGTGGCGTGAATATGGAGGCTGTTGAATAGGAGAAGAGGCTGATAGGATCTGTGATGATAAAGAGCGCTGATGCTGGCCGCAGCTGAAGGGCTGTTTGGTGTGAAAAGTCCGAGTAGATATGATAGTATAAAGCTTTTGCTGTCTTTTTTCTGATCAAACAAGATCTTAGAGAGTGAGAGTTTGTGAATGTGTGGGTGTGAGAGAGATGGTGTGTATTAAGGGATATAGAAGGCACGGGATGGAGTTTTAATGTTAAATCCCATTTTCCCTCTATCTCATTTTTTGATTTCTGTATTTAAGTGTAAACAATATCTATATGATTTTGAAGATCTGAATAATTCTCGTGATTGCAGAGTAACAAGGGATCAATTGTTTTTTTTAAAGAGATAGAAGTTTTTCAGAGATTGTTTTCCAGTGAAATGTTTTGAAACGCAAAAATCGATGTATTTATAGTTGGTTTTCCTTTGCTAAAATGTCGGAGTGACTCGGTTGTTATCATCCCTGCTCTAATTATTCATCCACCATTTTCTGTGCCACCACATTCTACTGATTGGCCTTGCTCTAAATACTGCGGCTACGAGATATTTAGTCGTTTTTCATGCCTATATGAAACTAAAACATGTCATTGTTTAAGTATGATTTAGCATGAAAACAGATAATAAAAAGGAAAAAAAAAAAGCAAATCAGAATAATCTTAATTTCCTTTTACTGCCCTTCACGCATGACAACGAATCTTAACACTTAAAGGTGATAATTAATTTTTTATTTTTGTTTTTTATATATATATATATATATATATATATATATATATATATATATATATATATATATATATATATATATATATATATATATATATATATATATATATATATATATATATATATATATAGGGCCTATATATAAAAAGGTTTGTATTTTATGTTATGGTATTGTCGCTGGCCTTGGATGTGCCCCTGCCAGGGCACACCTGCGGTGGGAGACTTCTGTTTTTGTAACATCTAATTGGATTACAGGGTCTATTTCGAATATACTTACTGTAAAACCCCCTGTCCTGTGAATGAACAAAATATATGGTGTGTTTGTGAGTGTGTTTTTAGATGCCCCTCTGAATGAGTGTGTGTGTGTGTGTGTGTGTGTGCGTGGTGAAGGGAGGAGGGTTCAGGGATGCGAGCAGCCAGTGGAGCGGAAAGAGTGCTTGAGATGGGAGAGATGTAGATAACGCAGTGGAAAACAAACTTCAAATGTTCCTTTGCATTGTGAGATCCGCGCTCCATTCCCTTTGCATGATACAAATATCTCATACCTTTTATATATATATATATATTCATTTAGAATATTTTTCACTTTAACAACAAAAGACAAAAGTCTAATGCGTGCGTTTTAGTACTGCGTATTTTCCAGGCAGTGCCGCGCCACTGTGTACAGCTTATTACCGTTTGCTTGACTCTTGTGGGGTTTTTTAATAGTAGAATCGATTATATATGATTATAAAAAAAGCTCAGTTTATGTTTTGATTATCTACCTATCACTGATAAGCGTTTGGTGCTGTGTAGGCTGGATACCAGCACACCTGCACCCATGTCCGAGGAGAGGAGATGGAGATGCAAAAATTGACAGATGTTAGTGTGGGAACAGAGGAGGGATACACCGATTCTTCTTTATCATGATCTGGAGGGCTGCTGGTCATATTGTGGGAATGAAACAGAGTCGTGTGGAGTTCAGGGATGTATAGGACTTCTCTCTCAGGCCTGTCGGATCGGATCTGGGCCTAAGGAAGTGGGTGTAAATGATTTTACAATCAAACGATCTAAGAAACAACAGGGGAATCAGATCCATCGAAGTTAAGCTTTTCAAAACCCCAGCTATTATGCAGAAATGTTAAAAGAAAACGCCTTGTGGGGGTTCAGCTTCACATCGTTTTCCCTAAGAGGAAGGAGGCAGGAAGGGTGCATTCTCTAAAATACATATGCACAGCTTTAAGAATAAGTGAAGCATGACTTGAATATTAAACCTGACGTATCCTGGAAAATCCGTAGTGATTTATCGTCTCTCGACGAAGGAGGCATATTTTCATGAGTTTAGAATGGCACCAATAAAATGAAAGAGATGGGGGAGAGGTGTGGTTTAAGGTGATGATTGCCCCCTCAATTTACTAACCCCTCATACGGGCAGCCTGAAACTTGTATTGCATAAACGTCAGATTAAGAGAAGAGATTTTGGTTTCAAAGATAAGTTGCATTTCTTAATTGTCAGTTTATATGTTAAGATTTTCAGCTGCTCATATTTGACAACAACTTGAAAACTTTCTAGAGGTGTCCTCATTTGTCACTGTTGGAACTATACTGTTGTTTATATAACATTTGAAAATATGTATCAAAGGTCTGGGAACAAAAATGAACTAAAATTATTTTATTTATAACGAGTTTAAGACAGACAGACAGACAGGACTTTTATATGGGTAGCCATGGTCGCACCACTAACCCTTCTGTAGCGCTACTGCAGCATGGTGCGAGGAGTCAGATGTCACCATCTGCACCCGCCCTCATCAAGGATTTAAAGACAAGTGCGTACCGGTAAATTCAACGTCACCCACCTAGTATTTTGTTTCATTGCTTCAAATTTCTCCAGTAACTTTTATCGTTTACGTAAGTGCCACATAGTCAAGTTTGATTTATGTCAGTGATTTTACGTATTCACCTCTAGACCCCTTGGCTTAGCACACGAATGAACGCACGACTCGTTCATTCTTTGTATCTTAATACGTAGTCAGTTGATATTGAAACGCACTCACTTTATTGGCCATTTGTCGTGGAGAACTGCTTCGAAGGTAAAACAGCCTTTTCAGGCGTTTACTTGTAAGCAAAACAAGTAACATTGATAAAACTGACTTGACAAATGTGAGCGCACAAAAACTGGACGCTGGTTCGTTGAGTTTATATTCTTGCGCAGTAAAATGCCTTTACGCGCCTTGCTGCCAAAACACTTTCACGGAAATATATGCTTTTTAGAATATGCTTTTTTTTTTTTCTTGTAGATGACGTACAGTAATTAAACCTGACCGCAGTCAACAGGTTTGAAATCCGGGCAGCAGCGGTTTCAGGTTGCACCAATGCGCTCTCCTTTTACGCACAGTCGGTAACATCTATAAAACTACTACTTGAGGATGTGGATTCTCAAATGCTGAGACGAAAACTGTATAAACTGTGTCTGCTGCATTATTTTGCACCTGTTTGCGCATGTTTTTGCCACCAATTATTTTGAGCTACAATTTTTTTCTGAGGAAAAAAAGAGAATTTCTTTTAACGTTTGCTGACATAGAGAGAGAAATTCCCTCTGAGACTTTGGGCTATACCAATCCAAAATCAGTATATTATTAATGTGCATTTTTAAATATTTCTCATGCCTATCTGAAAAAGAATAAATATAAATATATGAATATACAATTTTAATAAATATGAACTGGTCCCACAAATCAAAGTATGTTAAAATCTGTAAGTAGTGCTCCTTAATTTATACAATGGGTACGATTCTGCTGCACCACTGACAGCAAAACAGACCATCAGCATGATGCTGCCAACACCTTGTTTAATAGTTTATACATTGCTCTTGAAAACCTGGACTGATTGCTACTTTGCCTCCAAAGCTCAATATTTGTTTACTCTGACTACAATGTTTTTTCTTTTTCATAAAAAAAAGCATTTGGTTTGTCCTTGTGGGCACCTTTAAATGTCAGTCGTGCTTGAAATGTCTTCGGAGCAAGCCTATATTTTTGACTGGCACTCTCTTTGTTAAAGTTTGTGTGAAACTGGTTTCAATGTGGACTTTGAAATTGTCGTTCCAGAAGCTATTAAGGGTTAACTCAACCTGTTGAGGTTCCCCTTGCTTCTAGAACATAGCTGGGTATTGCAAAAGTACAAGGATAGAACAGAGAAATAAAACTGGTTTCGAAATGATAAGGTCAGTTAACATTTACCTTTGTGGTCGCACTTGACCAACTATGTTATAAAAATTTCTCTAATATCCAACTACAATCATGGCTAACCGGGTTAACAACTCAAGTGTGTGATTTATCTCCTTTTTAACTACATTCTATTAAGGTTTCATTAATATGAAAATCTGTGCCGCTATTCATATCCAATATTAATATTGCTTTTATGGTGGACAACTAATATTTACTGATATCATATATCACATATTCCAATAAAAAAAAAACATACCACTGTGCTGACATTGCTACTCTTTTTTAAACATCAAAAATCCTGTCACAATCAATGTCACATGACCAAACAAATACCACAAAACAAATCCCCTACCTAAGAAAAACTGCAAATAAATAAGAATAAATATACATTTTAATATGAGTCCTGTTTTACTTATTAAACTAAGATCGATATGCATAAAAATTGACCAAAATTTTCTGATGTTGATATTCATCCTGATCTATCATGCATTTCTACTTTCCGTAAACAGCTGTGCCAGTTCTTACACACACAAACACACACCCACACCTTTTTTTTTTTTTAAAGTTTAGTTAACATAACAATCTGTCATTTAAATGTCAGAAACTATATTGAGGAAAAGAGGCCCAGGGTCATCAGATAGTTTATTCTATCAACATGCTAAGTTTTTCTAATGTATTGTAGTTAGATGTTGATATGATTCAAGTGTGTTGCTGTCATAGAGAAAAAGCTATGGTGTTTTTTTGTCTGATTTTATTCCAGCCGTATTTCCTTCATTAAAATACAGTAGAAACCAACATGTGTAAGCTCAATGCATGTACCCAAAAACATCAATACCAATAAAGTAAGTGGAGCATCTCCACAGATGTTGTTTTTTTCAGGTCTATGTATATTGGACTTTGTTTTGAATCTGGGAGGATTAGGAAAAACACTAAATAAGAATTGTGCAGCAATTCTTTCTGTGCCTTTTGTTGTTCGGATGACATCCGTGCATATAAACAATGTATGTAAACTTCTTAGCACAATTGAAGCTGCATAGTGTACTACATCAAAAAACTTGCATATAACTTTCTATTAAAGAGATTGGAATGGCCTTTATGTGACTTTGTCTGGGAATGTTTAAAGAAAAAGAAGAGTTAAAAAGGCAGAGGGATTTATTGCCCTGTTTTCTATGGACAGGACGGTGATGGTGTGAATTTCAGTCTGTGTGCATCTCTGTATGTGTGTCTGAGTGAATCTAGATGAGACAGAAAAAGCTGCATTATGCATAGAGGTTCACCATAGGCAATATCCTTGCCTCTGTAAGCATACATATTCATAATCCATTTTCATATCCACAGCAAAAAAGTGGTGGTGGTGGTGGTGGTGGGGGAAATATATTGAAGCGCACAATACAAAAAATGTAACTACAAAATTGCCTCAAAAACTAGAAACACAAAAAATAGGTTAATCATTCATCTGACAAAGAAATCTTTTTCTTTTGGTTTCAAATAGAATAACATTGATATTATTCACTGTAATAAGAGAATCAAGCCTCGAAGGACAGATTCATAGTGCAGTACTTGAATGAATAAGGACTGCTCATTGTTGTTTATTAATCTACAGGAGGTGGAGCAAAAATAAAGCCTGGGGCACTTAACGGACTTAGAAATAGCTGGGATTAAATGCATCCTAAATAAAAAGGAATTTACCCTCAAACTGGTAAAGGAAACTGACTGGCTTTTAAATATTTAAAACATTGTACCATCATTTCTTAAACTTTGTAGCAAATTTTAAATTGCGCTTAAACTTTTTTTAATAAGATACAGGGAATACATTTTTTTTTTGTTGTGTAGATGAATAATGGCAATAAATTCTATGAAACTGACTGAACTCTTCCTTCAGGAGTATAGAAAGGGATATTTGGAGCCTTTTCATTTACCATTTCTAAGAGTTTCCAACAGGGTCATGGTAAGCTGATGCTTATCTCCAGTTGTATGTGGGCGAAAGGCAATTTTACACCCTTGGTGGGTTATTTCCAAAAGCAGTTCACCCATATTTTGTTTTCTTTCACTCTTTTGTCATTTTGAAACTGACAACAGGGGCAGGTCATTGTCATTGATGTTTTCTGATGGCTTCCTCCCTATTTACCTACAGTACTTTTAGCGTCACTCAGAGGTGTTGCTCTGCATCACACTGTAGTGCTCTCCGTGGTGCTGAAAGTGCAGACAGGTTTCCCTCAGAGCCTTTGAAAATGACTGACACGGAATCAAACAGCACAATGGATTGAACTTGACCTAAATTCCTATTTTAGAATAGCTGCTATAACATCATCTCTTTATCTGATTGTCATCTTTACCTTGCACGTGCACACATACTTTGACGGTACTATTTAGATGCATCCATGCAGTCAATATATTTTTTCTTTATCTTTGTACTTCCATGCCTTTGCTGCTGGTTTTGTTTGACATCAAAAGTGAGGTGCTGGTTAAACAATAACATCTCCATCCTTTTGACATCATCTGTCTAAAAAAAAAAAACCCAAAAAACTGAACAAACAAATATGAATGCGTTAACTTTTTCAACTTGTATAAAAACATTTTCTACCTTTTCTTTGTTATTCATATATTAAGTATCTAATTTTATTTATTTAACTATTAATGTGTGTTTCCCTTCTAGATAGAATGAACTGAAAATTAACAGTGTCAGTGAAAAGGAACACATGTATTGTGAATGCAAATGCCATGCAGAAAGAACCCACACTAAAACCATGCAAACAACTGCATCAACATTAAGCTACAGATTTTTTGATTGTTGGTTTGCGCTCAGATCTTAAAAAAAAAAAAAAAAAAAATATATATATATATATATATATATATATATATATATATATATATATATATATATATATATATATATATATATTTGGGACATCTCTCTTTTATCTTGTATTTAGCAGGTATTGATAATAATAATGGTGATGATAAGTAAAAACCTCAAGATTAAAGGTAAATTCAGGTTATCTTTATACCCTCAGTGAAGTATGAGGGTCTTTATTCTGTGAGGATGTAGACAATTGAATAGATTGGATTGAATAAATCCAGGCGTTGTTGATACAATCCATAAAAAAGAAGAAATAATTAAGCATCAGTGTCTGAGATGGAAATTCTTCAGCTTTAGGCCTTACATCTCCTCCTGGCATGCAGCCAAACTGAGCTCAGCACTTCCTTATGATCCTCAATATCCCCCTCCCATTCCGTGCCTAATCCCATCCAAAGACACATATACCACACAGACTAAAATGATGCATTAATACCCCACTTTAGATTAAATAAGGGTATTTTGAGAGGAGGAGAATGTTATCAGAGTATCTGACCAGCGCTGATACTGACTTACAGCAGTAGTGTTTTGCAGCAAGCATGTTTGGCATCCAGTAATTTTTGTCAAAGAGCACAAGAGAGAGGCCTTTGTACAGCTGAGGATATGTAAATCACAAAAAGCAACTTCTTTAGCTTTCTCCAGGTTACAGAACGTAATCAGGTATTTAAAAACAGGCTGGAGTTACGTGATATATTTCCTCCCCTACAAAGCCAGACATTCAAAGGATTCAATGGGTGAATTTTATTATGTTAGTAATGGTTGAATAATCCATATGAGGTGAGACATTATGGGTTAGAACGTCGATAAAGTTGTTTTGTTTAATTACAACCATCAAGTTCAAAATGTTGTTTTTTTATTACAGGATTGACCAATTATTATAGCTGCAGACTTTATGAAAAAAAAAAAAATGGCTTTAAGACTTTTTCTACCCTACGAATCTGAAAAGGCGAATATGGATGTATTTTAAGCTCCCTTTTACACTACTACCCTTGGATAAAAAAAGGCCCCTAGTTACCTTCAAATGTGAGTAAATTATTGAACAAGGCCCACTTGGTTGTTATTTAATCTGAGCATACATGTTATGTGAATAGAAGTCAGTAATAAGGCAGTGGGGTAGTTTTAAGAAGGTTAGTGTTACCTACTGTAAGGTGTCTCTAGTTGATGTTTTTGAGCAGTTTAACAACCGAAAGAAGACTTACAAAGTTAGACAGGACTGGTTTAGCTGAAACTATACTCACATTAGGTATTTCCCAAAAACTATTAGTTTTTCTGTCTTTATTAAATTGTAATTAACCAAAACTGACTTTAAGCCAACAATCAGTTTAATAGGTATCCTTCTTACACTAATGGTTATTCATATTGATGATTTTGATATGAATTATTTTTGTATTGTATCAATTTTGTATTGATTAATCTAAGGATTTTATTTAGCTGATAGTCTTAAGGGGTAAATGTCTGCTTTTGTAAATCTGTGTTTCTTGTAAAAAAAACAACAACAAAAGAACCCAAAAACCAAAACAATGTTGATTGTCTTTTAATATTTTGTAGATTGGTGTGTGTTTGGGATTTTACTTGGGATTTAAGAATCAACTATGACTGTCTCTTTTATACTTGTTTGGAACCTGAAGTCACCTCTTACGGGTTCTCCTCGTCCTTGTCACCCTAACAGCCAACAGTGAGGATGTTGTCTCCACTCGACTGTACTTTGTGAACGCCTCCCTGCAGCGAGTGACCTTCTCCAGCTCAGTGGGGGTGTCCCTGCCCTGCCCTGCGGGCGGCGCCCCCCATGCCGTCCTGCGTTGGTACCTGGCTGCTGGAGACGACATTTACGACGTGCCCCATATACGCCACGTTCATGCCAACGGCACTCTCCAGCTCTACCCTTTCTCCCCTTCTGCCTATAACAGCATCATCCACGACAACGAGTACTTCTGCACCGCTGAGAATCAAGCAGGCAAGATCCGAAGCCCCAGCATCCACATAAAAGCAGGTGAGGCTCAGACAAGCTGTAAACAACTAAAATTGAGGCAAGACATTTAGCATATACATTTTGTATATACAGTACAAACTCATTAAATAAATTTGAACATTGAAAGTTAATTTATTTCATTAACAATTAATTTCTATAAAGAGATGATTTGCCACTTACAGCTACTGAATATACATCATTTGATATTAGAATATCACGTCAGACTAATATGAAGCATTTTGTTTATTGAATGCTTAGTGAATTATTTTTTTAACACCTGGTTAAAGATTAGAATATGTCCGTATTCTGACAAATGAGCCACGTCCAGGAGCATATTTGGATTTATTGAAAATTTCTGTCTACAGCATTCTCCACAACTATTTGTAATTATGTTAAAGAAGTGTAAAAAGTACTTAAGTAGTAAATGTTAATTTCAGTAGCCTGATAATTCTAACATAACCAAAATCAAAATAGGAAACTTTAAAATAAGCTGCAATGGCAAAGTCAGTAAGCAGTAGTTCTGAATAAAAGTTCCTTGTACAAGTGTGCATTTTTTTAGTATGTTAAAAGATGGCGGGTCATTGTAGTGCAAATGCCTTAAATGTTCCAGCATATCTGAATACCCTGGCTGTGAGGCATGCGCTGGGTTCATCATAGAGACAGCCTGGGGAAAGAAACTATCTTGCGGCTGTTGATTTTAGCCGTAAGTGCTCTGTATCCCTTCCCTGAAGGTATGAGTTTGAACAGCATCTGGCAAGGATATGTGTGGTTGGCAGAGATGTTACTGTAGATGCTCTTTTTTGGCCCTAGACATGTATATGGAGGGATTGTAAAAATAATTACTAAAGCTCACTGTTAGAGAACTGTAGAGAAGACTCTAGTCTTGGAGTTAGTGTGTTATCTCAACAAGAATTAGATGGTATCTACAAACCAACAACTTATTTGGTATTTATGTTGAGGAAAACCTTTTCTGGCCCAACATACTGAACGTTTGGCCTATCCCAATGACAGCTGGAAATATAGAAGAGCAACATCTCAAATGGTTCTTGCATAACTGAGGTTTAAGTTGCATGCTGACCAGGTACCCCTCAGTTACAGCAAAGGAATGGCACAGAACATTTTATAGGAGATATTTTGAATAAGAAATTTCTGGCCTCTACCACAAAATTGAAAGTAGTTCATAATTGGGCCTTTCCACTGGATGATAATACCAAACATTTGACTCGATACTCTCTTCCAAATAGATCTCTAAGAGTAAAATCAACTTCCTGTCTTGGTGGTTCTTGTATTACTTCCCCTGTATGGCTCTCCCGCTCTGTCAGGAAAAGTCCAAGGGTCGTTTATTAGTAAAATATGCTTTTGCAATATACTAAAAGCAGGGCCATCTTGAATTAAGGGCTTAAAAAATGTGTTTTTAATTTGGGATTACATTTTCTGACAAACTTTTAAAGTTACCTTCACTACTGAAATGATATTCAACAAACCACATCACATTGGCTGATGATAACATCCTTTAAATTTCATATTTCAGCAGTGCTGTTTGACAGTGGCCATGCCAGCGGGTTATAAACCAAAGAAAGGTGTGTTTCTGTATGGCCAGCTAACACCCTTGTTTGGCTAGATAATCCCATTATGATTGACCTGATGATGCTCTAAAAGCTTGGACTGTAAACATTTAACACCTACTTTAAAGCTGATGTTTCAGCAGCAAATGCATTGAAGACAGTGTCCATACAGCAAGTTTTGAATTTATAATATGGGTTATATTTTATCACATGGAATGTAACACTTAATCATAATTTAGCCACACTTACTAGTTCACAAGAGATACAAAAAGGGGTCCCTGTTCCTCATGGACATATAATATTTTTTGTCACTACATCGAGTCTTGGTAGATCATAATGTTATCTAATTCCTCCAACTTGCCTTTGTAAGTCAACTGTTTTATCTGAACCAGGAACTACATATATCTTACTTAACCTAACAAATTTGAAGAAATATTTAGGGAAGATATACTACCACCAAGCTCAGATAAATTCTAAAATGCTTAATTCCTTCAGTTTTTCTCAATTTGTCTAAGACTTTGAAGCACCAAAAAGGATATATTGGAATACTTCATTATAATTTTAAAAAATGTTTTGCAGATTCATGCATATATTTTCTAATCCTTTGTAGTTTTAGTAGAATTTAGAGCCGTATTCCTTTTTTAAGTTTGTCTCTACTAACATTTCACATCCAGAGACTGATATGTTTGCTTTTATTTCTATTAGAAATAATTCAATTCAAGCTCTGTCAAAGTACATGGAAAGTGGCTTTTAACAACAAATCAGAAGTCCTTCTGTGTCATACTTACTCCTAATTGGATTTTGGTCTGAAATGTCACCATCCATCCATCCATCCATTTTCCTTCACACTTTATCCCAGCTGGGGTCGCGAGTGTTGGTGGTGCCTATCTCCTGCTGTCTATGGGCAAGAAGCAGGGTTGAATGTGACCAATATTCCTATAAATGAATATACTTATTTCTATTGAAATTTTAATAGAGGATTGTGACCATTTGCTGAAGAAAGTTAATGATCTCAATATCAGGGTGTTTTCCAGTGGACCAAAAGTTTAGTGGGTTATGGAAATGAGAGATTCAATTAACAGCGGATGCTAAAAGCTAGATGTGATGCCTTTTTGGTTGGGGATAGTGATTCGCCTACATGTTATGAATGCTGCCATATCAAAAAAAATAAATTATGAACAGTTTAGTTTGTGTCTTCACGTCGTTTGCCCATAGAAAGACGTTACTTGGATATAACCTAACCAAATATCTTCAGAACAGCTACAAATGACAAGTTAACCCTGTTTGGTACAGCTTAATCTATGATCTTCAGGTATGCTGTTTAGTCTTTTTTAGGCTTCCTTATGTTCTGTAATAAACCTTTGAAATCCTCAGAAACCATTTTTTTTTCATAACAAAATAAAATTACATCCAGATACACTCTATTTATTGATTAAATAACTTCTAATAGCAATTACCTGCACTAGAATTCAATTACAGAATCAGGGCATATGCAATCATATATATGGCACAAATGCATCCACAGTTTTCATATTTTTATTTGTTAAAATATGAACATTTAATTTTTTGTAGTTTGTTTATTTACTTTACAAGTATGCACATTGGTGTGGCAAATGCAATCCAAAAAAAAAAAAAAACTCATAGTTGAAATGTAACAAAAAGCAAAACCAAAAACTGTTATTAGATTTCTAAATATCACATCGTCATTTTAAAACCGTTTTGATCAAAACCTTGTAAAAAAACAGCCTTAGATAAGAGCTATGTGTCAAATTCGGATGTAATTTCAAACATTCGTTCAAAGGTTATCTTTGTCCATTTTCTGTTGAAGTGTCCTAATATGCCATTCAGTGACCCTGTGAATTAGTAAGATTTTTTTGACAACAGACACACAATCACACAAACAGTTGGCTCAGTGACCTGTCTGCACTCCCTGCCAAGGTCAGAGCTAGAGGGAGGTGATGAACACGCTGATGGAAGGTATTATTTTTCTGCTCATAAAGATACACTTGAAAATCCCGAACACACACATGCACCTACTCATCTGATTGATATTATGAATATATGTATACATAAAGAAGCTCCTTACATTCATATTCGCATCCATTTGAACTAAGACAGACAAAAAACAGACTCTCAGCCACACCAGCCTGACTACAGCTTATGCCAGCAAGCTAGTATAACAGTCACTCCATCTGTCCAATGAATGGAAAGTCCCAAAATTACACACATACACTCTAGCACATCCATAAATACAAATGCACTCATAGGTATTTACTACACAGTGTTTGGCTGCCAGCTCTTTGTCAGGTTATTTGGCAAAAAGGACTCAGCTATAGACAAATGAAGATATGAAAAAAAAAATCATGTAAAGAAGTGGAATTGGGGTCACAGTAAAACCAGATTCATTGTTGAATTTGTTCATGGACATAAAGTGACAGTTACCAGTTCCTTACAGTACTTCTTTATTTGCAAACACAGGTGAAATGTACTTTCTGAAGCGATTCTGAGATCTCCTTCTTTGACAAACACACCCATATGGTCTGTGTGGTCCCCAGAGGATGACAGTCCCTGCAGCATCACACTGACCTTCCAGATAGCCTCGGTGTAGAAGTGACCTTCCCTTCCAAATAATTACAACAATCAATTAAATGCTGAGGCAACAACAACTCTACAGCTCCATAACCAGACTGAAGTGCTTGTGTGTGCACCTCATTACCTCTGGAACCTAACGCAGCACAAAGGCACGCCTCTATTCTTTCTCTCACACCCACGTGTGTGCATACAAACTCGCTGGCTGTTGTTGCCAGGGGCAACAAAGGCGTGAGCGCCGGGGTGTGGCATACCCCGTCTCAGGTGGTGCACGGGAATGATGACAGCTGACAAGTCACAGTGAGACACCCTCCACAAAAAGCTGCCCTACGCCCTTCCTACCATCCAGGCATGTTTCCTTGGCTGTTGCCCTCTTCCACATCTTTGTGTTTACTCTGTTCATTCCTTATCTTTTTCTCAATCTTTCCATGCTAATACTGCTCAAATAGTATCACCATTACTTTTCTGAATAAATCCAGATTTATATAAGACAAAATAGATGGCTTGTTTTTTCCCTAGATATCTGTCACTGGACTCTTATTTGAAGCAAAGAAAAATAATACAACATTTCAGGAAAACAGACAAGGTTTAAAGCAAATATCCTTTCATGCAACTCCTGTGACTTACGCATTAGAATATAATTAAAAATAGTTTTAGATCGTGTACAATGTAGAAATTTAATAAAGACAAATTTCTGACATAACGACACATAATGTCCTGCCTCTAAATAATAGTCCTTCTGCTTCCCTATATAAGAAGGTCCTGCTTGCTAATGACAGTTGAGTTGCAAAGGGGATCAGGCGATAGCCCACACATGCATAGGATGAACATGCAGAAATGCAAAAAGACCTGATTTAAATCCAAGAC